CCATTCTTTTCAATGTCATCCACAATTTGTTATGATCCACACAATCAAATGCTTTTGCATAGTCAATAAAACACAAGTAAACATCTTTCTGGTATTATTTGCTTTGCTTTGAGCTAAAATCCATCTGACATCAGCAATGATATCTCTTGTTCTGCATCCTCTTCTGAATCCAGCTTGTATTTCTGGAAGTGCTCTATCAATATACTGCTGCAACCATTTTTGAATTATCTTCAGTAAGATTTTACTTGCATGTGATATTAATGATATTGTTCAATAATTTCCACATTCTGTGGGTACAAATATGGATCTCTTCCAGTCAGTTGGCCATGTCAGTTGGCCAGGTGGCTGCCTTCCAAATCTCTTGACATAGCTGAGTTAGTGCCTCCAGTGGGGCATCTGTTTGTTGAAACATCTTGATGGATATTCTGTCAATTCCTGCAGCCTTGTTCTTTGCCAATTCTTTCAGTGCAGCTTCGACTTCTTCCTTTAATACCATTGGTTCTTGAACATATGCTACCTCCTGAAATGGATGAAGATCGACCAATTCTTTTGGTACGGTGACTCTGTGTATTCCTTCCATCTTCTTTTGATGCTTCCTGCATCATTCAATATTTTGCCCATAGCATCTTTCAATATTGCAACTTGAGACTTAAATTTTTTCCTCAGTTCTTTCAGCTTGAGAAATGCCGAGCGTGTTCTTCCCTTTTGGTTTTCTAACTCCAGGTCTTTGCACATTTCATTATAGTAATTGGTTTTGTCTGCTCGAGCTGCTGTTTTAAATCTTCTGTTCAGCTCTTTTATCTTGTTATTTCTTCCATTTGCTTTAGCTACTCTTCGTTCAAGGGCAAGTTTCAGAGTCTCTTCTGACATCCATTTTGGTCTTTTCTTTCTTTCATGTCTTTTTAATGACTCTTGCTTTTTTCATGGATGATGCTCTTCATGTCATACCACAATTCTTCTGGTTTTCGGTTGTTGGTGTTCAGTGCATCAAATCTACCCTTTAGATGGTCTCTAAATTCAGGAGAGATATATTCAAGGTCATATTTTGGCTCTCATGGACTTAGTTTAATTGTCTTCAGGTTCAAGTTGAACTTGTATATGAGCAGTTGATGGTCTATTCCATAATCAGCTCCTGGTCTGGTTTTGGCTGAAGATAGTGAGCTTTTCCATTGCCTCCTGCCACAGATGAAGTCAATCCACTTCCTGTGTACTCCATCTGGTGAAGTTCACGTGCACAGCCACCATTTGTGTTGTTGAAATGCAGTGAATAAGTCGTTGGTCTTGCAAAATTCTATCATGCAATCCCCAGCGTTATTTCTTTCACCAAGGCCAAATTTTCCAACTACGGGTGATTCTTCTTTGTTTCCAACTTTTGCATTCCATTCATCAGTGATAAGCAACACATCTTGATTGAATGTTCGGTCAATTTCAGACTGCAGAAGTTGATAAAAATCTTCAATTTCCTCATCTTTGGCTTTGGTGTTGGGTGCATAAATTTGAATAATAGTAATATTATTATTATTCATAATAATATAATAATATAATATAACAACATATATTATGTATATAAGATATATTATATAATATATAATAATGTAATATAATATATAATATATATAATATAATATGTAATACAATATAATAATAGTAATAATACTAACAGGTCTTCCTTGTAGGCATATGGATATTATCCTATCACTGACAGCATTGTACTTCAGGATAGATCTTGAAACATCCTTTGTGGTGATGAATGCCATGCCATTCCTCTTCAATTTGTCATTCTTGGCATAGTAGATCATATGGTTGTCTGATTCAAAATGCCCAAAACCCATCCATTTTAGCTCACTAATGCCTAGGATATCAATTTTTATGCGTTGTATTCCAATTTTTACCATTTCCAATTTTCTGACATTCATACTTCATACATTGCATATTCTGATTATTAATGGATATTTGTAGCTGTTTCTCCTCAATTGGAGTCATGCCATGTCAGCACATGGAGGTCCTGAAAGACTTACTTTATCCATAACACTAAGGTAGACTCTACTTTAATGGGACAGCTCTTTCCCATTCCTATTTTGAGTGCCTTCTGACCCAAGGGGCTTGTTTTCCTGCACTGTGTCAGACAATGTTTCCAAGCTATTCATAAAGTTGCCCAGTAATGTATCAGACAGTGTCTCTGCTATTCATAAGGATTTCCCTGGCCAATTTTTGAGAAGTGGTTGGCCTCCTCCTTCTTCCTAGTCTGTCTTAGCCTGTAAGCTGCGTTGAAACCTGTGCACCATGTTTCACTCTGCTGGTGTTTGAAATACCAGTGGCACAGCCTCAAGCCTCACAGCAAGGTACAAGCCCCACAGGATGACAAACTGACAAACAAGTTTGTCTCCCTTGTTGTTGTTGTTGTTATGTGCCATCAAGTCA